GGAGAGAAAGGTAATCGATTATCCGTTACATTATTTCCGTTTCATTCAATGTTTACTATATAACTTTTCGCCCAAAAAAAAAAAAAAAAAAAAAAAAAAAAAAAAAAATACAAGAAAGAAAGAAAGATAAAACTGCCTTCAAGGTTTCTTTCTCTCTAACTGCAAACTTTGAATGAAGATAAATTATGTTGTCTTTTACGCATTTACTCTATGAATAATTCTTAATAAGTTTTTCTTAATTTTTCTTTTCTTTAATTCTCAAATTTATTTTATAACCGTTTTGCAGTCTTTTTTAACTAACTGTTTAATCTTTATTCAGATATAAAAAATTGCTTATGTCTGAGGCGAAGTTTTTGAAAATATTCATAATTATTCATAATTTTATTTTAATTTATGCAAATGTATGAAATGCAGTGTGTCGCTGCTACTGAATTAACTAACAATCGAATTAAGAGTTTTTTTTATTAAAGGAATATTTTCGATTTATTGAAGCGAGACTTAAGCGAGATGTTAAGAACTTTCTACGAGATATCCCGCCTAAGCAAGTGCAAGCATAAAGATCGCTCAGGTGAAGCGAGAGGCGGGTACAGCGCAAACTCATAGATCTAAGATCCCATTTAGCATTCATTATGCTTAGGAACAGGATTAATGTAAAGAACCGGCTAAACTGATGTTGTATGTGAACTTACATCAGATAATGAAATGGAGAACATATATAAGTTACCACTGAGGTGCTAAGGGGCACGCGAAATCGCCAAGCACTATGACAAACAATGTGGATGTAAGAGCAGGAGGTGTTTATCTTTTTTTTTTTTGAATTTTGATTATACTGTTAAGAAAAAGGAATACTTTCAGAGTTAATGTTGTTTCAGGCAAGCAACAACATGCCTTCATGTGAGGCATGTACAGAATAATTTTACACATTCTGTCTTGTTTACCTTATGAGTAATAAGCAGAAACCATTAAATCAAAATATAAAAATTTGACCGTTTATAATTTGTTGTGTAGGCGTGGTCGATTTTTATACAGGTGTTGCAGGTAAAGGCAAATTTTTAGCGTTGTTTTATAAGCAAGCTTCATTTTGAAAAAGGAGATGGTCCCAGCTGATGTGGAATTGTAGTGGGGTGTGGTGTCCTTTGACCGAATTGTCTCATTTTTAGGCTTTAAATGCTCCTACCGACTTTGAAGCCGATGACAAGAGAATGCTTACCGCAGCCATTACCCAGACAGACATTCATAAGGATATGTTTAAATTGGTTTCAAATTTGATGCTCATCAAGTTTGTGTGTATATACATTCTAAGGGGAATTTGAAGCTTCCTTCTGTGTGTTGCAAACCTTTTGACAAAGTGAGCGAGCATATCCCTCATTCGTCGATGATGGGCACAAAAATTAATAATATTGAGAATAATAGTTTTAACTGAGTAATACGTTGACTTGAGATTGCATTTTGTAACTGATATCTCAGGAGTTCCATAGGCTTAGTTGTTCCGAATACGATTCTTCTAACAAAGCAAAAGTTTAGGCAGAATTTTGTTCACAGTTGCAAACTATACTAGATATTGTCTATGTTCTACATCCATACCATGGATTAAACAACTTGGAAAATATTGAAGGAAGTGATCATGTTATATGTGCGATTTATATTCAACAAAATTGTTTATCATTTCCTTTGATTATTCGCAAGATTTGGTTGATCTGAGTAACGCGAAATCTTATTTCAGATACTGGAGCATTTTTCAAAGATTTGAATGCAGGGGGTTTTTCGGTGTTGCAACTCTCCATAAAATCTGCACACGATTTAAATTGATTTGACTGATTGATATCTTATTTTTTGTTATAGCCTAATGTCCATGGCTGAATATATTTGAATTGTCCAACGTTAAGATGAGCGACGTGCTTCAGACAGATGCCGCTAATGACTGAGCGGTGAAAGTCTGGTTGAGTGAAAGAAGATTTCTTTAGCCCCTTATATTACGCTTGGACACATTTTTTAAAAGTTTCCTTTCATCATTTCCCCTCTCCCCTCTATCTATTAGGTCTATAAAAAAGGGGAAATATTTGTCCCACCTCACTTAAACTTTCGATAGATAAAGTTTTAAATTCAAACACATTTTATGAGTTCACACACATACATACATATGCAATATGGTCCTCGATGTCTATTTACAAAATCGTTCGCAATTAGCAGCTAAACAAAGCAAGCGATTTATTGTTCACTTTGGACAATGATTTCCTAAATTTCAACTCAATGTCGATGATAGTTTTTTTTTTATTTTTTTTTATTTATTTGCTTCGCTTTCATCTTTGCTAATGAACATTTATCCGTGTTTTTTCAATTTCTTTAATCGTTATCAGTATATTTTCAATTAGCAATTGCTGAGATACTTTTCAATTGATTCTAACTGTTTTTTATACTGCCTTTGTTCTTAAATCCCTTTAAATGTATTTTGCCGGAACAACAATGAATGAAGCTTTCGTAGCGTATTTTTCGTACACATATACACAAGTCTGAGTGGATGGGCGGCTCAATAAAATTTCATTTGGAATTAAATTTAAATTCACATATATGCATAAATATTTATGATCCGTATATGAATTCATATATTCATCTAAAAAAATATCAAGGGGAGAAACTTTTTTGCTCTTATTTTATATAAGTATTACAGGCAGGCACGAGCTCTGGATATGATATTTGATATTTTCAATATTAACAGGTAAGAAAGTTATGTTCGACGGTAGCCGATTCTCCATCGATACTCACGACGATGATTTTCGTATTCTCCTCTCCAAGTTCTTTAATTTGATACCCATATTGCTGGTATTATTACGGAAAAATTAATTCACCAAGTCGCGGTGTCTGCCATAGTCATTTTAGAATGAACCCCTTCTTTTTAGGCAGATGAGTAATGTACAAAATAGTTTTAAGCAGTATGCCTTGTTTGTCTTATCATAAATAAGAAAAGAACCTCAAATAAGCGAAGAAATAAAATTTAATTACTCGTAACTGTGGGCCTGGACGATTGTTTGCATTTTTGGACGTAAAGAGAGAGTGTTTCGTCGAGTAAATGCAGAAAACTACAGCCATGTAATTTCTCTGTAACGAGCAAAATCCCACAAATTTTTGTTAAGAAAAACAAAGTTGCGTTCAATTTATGTTACACAGCGGGCTACTCCTCTGGCCAATTTGACCTATTTTCAATGCCAATCTATGTGCAAAGACTTTCAATGTTGCTATCAAATTTGAAATGGATATTTTCATTTATGCGACCAAGAGAGTGCCAACAACAAATACCACAAACAGACTCGCAGCACATGGACAGACATGGCTAAGTCAATTCAGAATTTCAACCTAATCAAAAATACATATATACTTTATAGGGTCGCTGAAGCTTCCGTTTCGATGTTAGTGGGTATAAAAAACGGGTGTGACGTGTACAAAAATATAAAATCAACTAAATGCAAGCTTCTCTGAACAACAAGCAAAATAACCAAATCAGTGTGTCATCTGCTACGTCGCTCTAGGTATAGATCAATAAAAACTATCAAATATCAAACTCCATGGTATATACTCAAGCTAGAATTGTAACTGCAAGTCGAAAATTTAAATAATTTAAATAATAGATTGCCTAACGTGCACGTCATCGAAGCTTAACTAGATTAGATTATTGTTCGGCAAATTTGCTGATTATATCGACAAATTTCGACGCCTTTCCTAACATTATTCATTACGTCATAGCCATTTCAATGCATATTGCTGCTTATAACTAACTGTAATTGCAAGCAAGCAAGCTCTTCGCAGTCATTATTTTGTCAGCAAAAAAAAAAAAAAAAAATTTAAATTGATTTGATTGATTTAATTGTATGATTGATTTGATTAATGGAAGGGTTTCTCCGCCCTTCTTTTTACCTCCCTTTAAAAAAGATTAAGTTAACTATATTCCTTTTTTGACATTTTGCTTTATTTTTAGGACAGAGTGAAAAACAGATAAAAATGACAGCGAATATATTTGATTGGCTTACTTTCTTTTCTTTTATATCTTACTCGAAGAATATATCTTCAGGGGTTGGGGTAAAAATTTATTGAGAGATTTTTGACGGTAGATAGTGCGTGGTGACATACAACGTTTAGACAGTGGCACTTCTACAGTCTGTAATTTTCATTCCGAGAAGTCTGTGTTTCGTCAGTCATTAGTGTGACAATAAATGAAATGATTGGAAACATTTCGCTAGACTTTGTAAACTTCATTAAGAGAAAGGCAAAAACGTTGGGCGAAAAATCTAAAAAAAAAAGCCAGTGGTGTTTGCGGTGAAAATGTTTTATGCAATGCACCGGCATGCCGTTTGGGTTTATTCTGGAAATTCCGATATCGCACAGGTGCATCTTCTTCTGTTCGATCAATCACTGAATCAATCAATGACACCTTACACCAAATCGAAGAATATTGTCCCACAATAGCAACCATGACAGTGCTAACGGATTATGGGTCGATAGGAAAACAGTTTTAAATCATTCGCATATGGCTTTGGACATAAAGAAGTTTCAGTAAAACAGACATATTGTACGTATATTGTACGTATAGCCAAGCTATAGGCGGCAATAATTTCATGCCAAAATGGAAAAAGCAAAATTTTTAAAAAGGTCGAAGATATATTTCGATTCTTTAGAGATATCTTTAACTTATAATGATAGTTAAGTTAAAGCGGTAGTCGAACTAGGTTCTGCAACTACGTTCAGTTGCTTAAACAATAACTTAAACTAAATAATGGTGATGTGCGGGAGGGCGGCGGTCATCACTTAACTCATGAGAATATAAATATGAATCCGTATAAAATAAATAAAAAGGCTTTTTGGACGATCAATATTTTTGAAATTACGTAATAAAAAAAATTAACAGGCGCGAGATGCGATTTAATGTCATTTTTCTTACGATTCCTTCTTTATTGATCTTAAGCATCAGAATTTTTCTTTTATTATTTTGTTTAATTTATAAAACTTACCCTAGCGACATTTCCATATAAGCAGACCAAGTTGAATAATTTATCAGTGTTAGATGTATCGTGATCCAAGCCATAAACCATCATGACAGCTCCCTATTGTAAAAAATAAAGAAGCAAAGGGGAAGTAAACCAGAAAAGATAGATTCAATTAGAAATGAATTAATTAAAATATTTAAAGCCTATTTTTTATATTTAATTGAAACAAAAGTCAAATCATTTCATTGATTGTTTCCTTTTTAATACTCAATAAGTTATATTCTATAAAACATATATACGAAGGAATGCCAGACGTATGAGTTATGTAAAATGTTTTATTTTTGGCGTATGAATTTTCCCTAACATAATACGGAGCGGAGCGTATGAGTGTTTCGATATCTGATTATGAAAGTTTTGATATGAGAGAGATTGAAAGATTGATTGAAAGATTGAAAGATATTTGAGAGAGAGAGAGAGAGAGAGAGAGAGAGAGAGAGAGTGAGAAAGAAGGAGTGAGTGAAAGAAAGAAAAAAAGTAAGAAAGAGAGAGAGAGAGCGAGAGAGAGAGAGAGAGGTAGTAGATAGTTGGAGGTAGATTTTGAGAGTAGTTTATTTTTGGTTATGTACCTGTGTCTGTCCTTGTGCAGTGAATGCCACAGGGGCATTGCGGCCGGGTACAACTGCTGGCTCTTTCATGAGACCAGTGGGATGTATGGTGGCTCCTTTCCAATTTTCCGGTGTAGTGGGATGGAATTCTGGTGTAGCAAATGGTGGAAATGCAGCGCCCGGTCCCAAGAGTGGTGGTTCTTTAAATTGAACAAAATTTGTAGGTGGTGATATTAAGCCAACTGTTTAGTTTTGTTGTTTATATTTGGTTTTTAGAGAAATTGTTTTCGTGTTCGATTTGTACGAGAGTTGATTTTTCGGCATTTTTTTTTTTTTTTTTTTTTGATATATATATATATAGATATATATGTATATGCATATGCATATATATTTATTTATTTTTTTTTTTTTCAATATTTTGAATTATTGTCATTAATGTTTAATTAATTTATATATTTATTTATTTATTCATTTATTTAAGTTTTTTTTTTTGTTTTTTTAATAGCGTACATATATTATCATCACATACACACAATCACAAGAAGAACACAACATATGCATGCACAAATTTAAATTTTTGTCAATTAATTATATAACAGGTTACGGTAGTAGTAGTAGTAGTAGTAGTAGTAATAATAGTTGATGATGATTAAATTATTGTTGTAGTTGTTGTTGGTAGTTGTTGTAGTTGGTGATGATTGTTGGTGATATTTTGATGATATTGATTTTGGAGAGGTTAGAAGAGAGAGAGACACAAGCAGGATGGTTGGTGGTGGTGGTTGGCAAGCATGCACACACATGGATTATTGGTTTTGTTATTGTTTTTTTTTCGATTTCATATATTGTGTTTTTTTTTTTTTTTTTTTTTTTTTTATTTGGAGGGAGTGGTGGTATTCAATTTTTTAGATGGAACGAAATCGATAAAAAAAAGAGAAAATAAATGAAATTAAAATTACGGTTTGAAAAATAATAACCGAAAAAAAAAAAAATAATAAAATAAAATAAAAATTTATATTAAACTCAATTATTTAAGAACAATATTAATTATATAAATTAAAGAAAAAAAACAAAAACATGCCTTAACACACCTGAGTTGAGAGCTCAATTATTTATACTTATAATAATGTAATTTTAGGAAGAAAAAAAAAAAACAAGCACATACAGGCAAATACATATTACGTACAAAGACGTGCATTTAAATATTAAACTCAATTTTTGCTTATTTATCTTTCGTTTTAGTCATCTCATCCATGCTCTGTCGGTTTTTGCAGTCACTGATTACTGGCTGTTGTCGTTAGCGACTTTAACTACTAAGAAAATCTACTACAAAACTTGTCAAAATGTCACACAAGTGTGCGGCTAAAACTTTAATTAACTTGAACTTCACACATATATGTGTTTACATAAAAACACACACACACACACACACATACAGCCAGGCATACACCCATGCATGCATACGTGATTACATACAGCCAGACCGCTTATTGTAGCGCACAGCAAAAGGCAAACTATTCGTTGGGGAATCTTTTTTAATTAAAGTACAAAACACCGACGACACGATAACGATATCGTGTTAGATTTAAAGATAAACGATATAAATATTTAGTGAAGTAATTTAGTTATTTTGTTTTTTTTCCTTTTGGAGGAAAAATGTGATTTAATCGTGGATTACTGAACTGCTTATTATTATTATTATTATTATTATTAGGTATGAAATTCTTTAGCTTCTAATCATGAGAATGAAACGGTTGTCACTCCAAATGACTTTAGCAAAATATGAATTTCTTTTTAATGCCAAATTAACATGAATGACATGAAAGACCATAGATTAACTGTGAGGGGGCGCGTTACGCTTACTCTCATCAAAGTCTAAGTACTTAACTTAATCTACTAAATTGTTCTTTCATATTCGTGATGCCTGATTATGTCTTCGTTACTGAAATAATTTCGTCGTTAAATAATTACCTTCAGCTTGCCTTGAGCATATGTCTCAATATTCTTCTTAAAGTGAGCACGCACAACGAATGAAAGCTTCGTCTGTTATCGAAAAAAACGCTGCAGTTTTTTGTAAACATATCATACATTCTCAGACCAGAACAAACAGATCTTTTGATATCCACAGTTTAGATGACGTTCGCAAAGGCTTGAGTGGATACTCAGATAATTATATGCAACGAGCGGCAAATCTTAGTTAAATGTATTTTGTCGGAGGCTTGCAAGTGGATTGAAACAATTTTGGTTCTTGATTTGTGGCCTTCAATTAACACTGGGTGCCACTTGTGTGTAACAGAATAATTTACTATGTTAGTATAGCCAATAGGTTAGATGATCGGCCGTTGTAACGGATAAACGCAGATACCATTGCAAAAATAGCTAGTTCGTCAGTGGGAGTGGCAGGGAGTGTGTTTTTACTTTTTTTTCAACAAGCAAAGCACTCCACAGCCAATTGTACTCAAGCAATGCAAGCGTAGAAATCCTTATATAGACAGATGGAGGATCGAAACATTACCGCTGATCTTATGCCCTGGTCTATTCTACACTATGTCATATCTACGGTCTCCTTTCGCTCATAATTTTGTGTTCAATTTCATCCTTACTGAACTTTAGCATTTCCAACAAGAGACGGTAGGCAGACATGGGATGACATCACGTGAAACTCTTACGATATTCAAGATGCTTCTAAGAGTTATAAGACACTCTCTTAGAGTCAACTACTCCTTGAAAGCGAAGAAAATATTTATATTTTTTGCTTCAAACGAAATGCTTTATTAAGGCTTGCTAGTTTGCCTTCCTTTGTTTCCCCTTTGAATTTATTGTAACGACGCAGTGACTACAAATCTTATGATATAACAAGAAAAACTGCATTTAATTAAAGCGAATTTTTTTCGCTTTCTTTGGCTGGTAATAGACTAAATCAATTTCGAAGTCCCAGGAGCTTGTTAAGGAGATTAAAGTTTCCCTTTTTTTTTGTTTTGATTGAGACGACTTTTATTTTCGATAACAATGTTTCTTGTGCTTATCAGCATCTATTGAGTTAATCTTAGAACTGTAATCGTCTTAATCAGATTTTCGCTGAGCAGATGTGCATATGCTATGTGCTTAACGGAGTGAGAGTTAATGCAACATGCCACGACACGGGTGAGCCTGTTAGAATTTTAGGGCTTACTCAAGCCCTTTTTTATTTGCTGGCAGTGAAAGAGTTCTGCCCCAAGAAAATTATTTTATCAAACACATATGTCAATGCTGCCAACGAAAGGTAGTTAACAAGAGAGAGGGTGAGACAGACAGAGAGAGAGAGAGAGAGAAAGAGAGAGAGAGAAAGAGAGAAAGAGAAAGAGAGAGAGAATAGAGTGTGAACGCTTGCAAGCGATTAAAGCTAAATTCTGACCCAGCAGCAGATGAAACCCATCGAGATCGATAATTAAGTAAAACGAATTAAAGGCTAACTTTCGAGATGAGGGCGGATTGTGTTTTCGAATGGCCGACAACAACAAGTAAACGAGAATTGCTAAATTTACTTTATGTGTCAAAGTGATAACTACCACCTACTTTTAGTGCTGAGGTAAGGATAATTTTATCGTTCTCTTTCCACAAATTTTGTGCAAGCGATTGTGTCCACTTTATCAAATTTCTTCATTTATTATTTATAAATGGGAAAAACTGCTCTTAAATAATTTTCCTGCCAGCATATTGGAAAACTTTAGCCAAACAACAACTAATGATAAAAGACCATTTTTGGCATGATAGCGGTAAACCCCCCCATCACCTGATGAAAGCATTAATGTGAAAACTTTGTCGCCCCCAAATGTTTCCATTAAATTATTTCACATACACATTAAATATTTTAAGATAATATATATTTTTCTCGACCAAAAATTTATTAAAAAAAAAAAAATTTATGTTAAAATGTGTTTTAAGACTTTTTTTGTTTTTTTGTTTTTTAATGCTAGCTAACGTAGACGCAATTCCATTAGTTTTCATAAAGAGCGCATTTGTCTACAAAAAAAAAGAAAAGCAAGAAAAAAGCAAGCAATGCTTGCGTTTATATACATATGTGGCAGTAGAGAGAGGTAGAGTCTGTCAATTTACAAAATGTAGGCCGCCACCATTCCCATCAAGTGGTTTTTTCCATGACAACATATGGAATTTGTCGACTATGACATATATGTCGACTGTATTGTAAACGTAAACAAAATGAAATATTTGTTGTGTGTGTGTGCATGTATGTATGTGTGTGTGTGTGTGTTTGGTAATATAATATTTAAATATGTCTCTCCCCCCAACCCCCCTCTCAACCATCACACGAGAATTATAGAGAAAAAAGAATATTTTTTCCTTGCTTGAATAATTTGAATAGCGAGAAACTTCAATAATATATATATATATATATGCTACTATTATATCCGTTGTTGGAGGCGAATGAGTGATTTCTTTTTTAATAAAATAAGAATTATGTAGTAAATCAAAAGGAAATTAATATTGAATTAAAATCTCATTAATAATGTGTATCTTTTTTTTATAGAGATATTAAATTTAAATTACGCATACATCGTGGATGACTTATGATAATATATTTTGTCAGAGTATAATTGAAAGGCTGGCAAGCTTGGCCGGCTATTTTCGGTGTTATTTGTGATTAATATTGACACACATCGTCCTTAAAATAAATATTTACTGATTCAACACATCTATATATATATATATATATATTTATTTGTTTAAATTAGGTTTTGACACGATTAGCGTAATGCATTTGTTCTCGCTGTCACTTGTGTATATTTATTCCATCATTAACCTTTCTCTCTAAATTACTAATAATAAACACATTGGGGAACATTTAAAGTAAAACTAGAGCATCTTAATTTGCATTTGACACCATGCGCATGTATGTATGCATGTCACTCAGAGTTACCTACGAGGTGCATTCAAAAAAAAGGTGGATTTTTCAAATTCCATCGACTATGTGTACATGCGTGGACATTTGAATTTTCTTGTTGGTTCATGTACATGTTATGTTAGCCAGTTTGCATTTGTAGGTTGCTTATGACAAATATAAAGGTTCGAGTCGCGTTGATGGGTTTGACGATTTTTTCTTGCTATTGAAAAAAATGAATCAAACCCAATTTGCATTAAATTTTTAGTTCTTCAAATCGCTGAAAATGATGTTTGTCTAGAAATTCCTTTTGCCGAAAAGATGTTGACGTGATGATGATGTCCTCTTTGGATAGCCCAACCCAAC